CCTGTTAGTGTTGATATTTTGACCTCCTCCCATGAATCACAAATGTTATTTTGGGGGGACAGTTTTTTTGTTTGTTTTTTTGGATCCAAACCCATGACCCCACCCACTGGTGTTGTAAGGCTGCACTCTAACCAGCTGAGCTAACCGGTCAGCCCTCACAAATGTTCTTAATGGCATCTAGAATGGTGAATCCTTTCCAGAAAGTTTTCAGTTTACTCTGCCCAAGACCCATCAGAGGAATCACTATCTGCAGCAGCTATAATTTTATGAAATGTATTTCTTTAACATTTATTTGTACATATTTGTGAGGTACGGTGTGTTGTTTCAATACATGCATATACTATACATTGATTCACTTAGGGTAGATAGCATAGCTTTGTACTCGTTGATAAGTGAAGTAAGTCATGCACAGAAAGACTGCATGATCTCACTCATATGTGGAATATAAAAAAAGAAAAATGGTTCCCATAGAAGTAGCGAGTAGAATAATGGTTACCAGAGGCCAGGAGGGGACGAGGGGCAGGGGGGAGGGAAAGTGGTAGATTACAAAATGTAATGTATTTCTTTTTTTGTGTGTGTCCTTTTTGAGACCAGCTGCACTGCACTCAGCCAGTGAGCAAGGGGACGAGGGGCAGGGGGGAGGGAAAGTGGTAGATTACAAAATGTAATGTATTTCTTTTTGTGTGTGTGTCCTTTTTGAGACCAGCTGCACTGCACTCAGCCAGTGAGCGCTGTGAACGCACCGGTCATCCCTATATAGGATCCAAATCCGCAGCAGGAGCGCTTCCGCGCTCCCAGTGCCACTGCCGCGCTCCCAGCGCCGCCCTCTCCTGAGTGAGCCATGGGCTCGGCCCTAATGTATTTCTTAAATAATAAGACTTACAAGTCAAAATACTCCTTGATCCATGGGCTACAGAATGAATGTCGTGTTAGCAGGCATGAAAACAACAATAACCTCCTGTACATCTCCATCACAGCTCTTGGGTGACCAGGTGCATTATAAATGAACAGTAATATTTTGAAAGGAATCTTTTTTTCTTTGCAGTAGGTCTCAACAATGGGCTTAAAATATTCAGTAAAGTATGCTATAAACACATGTGCTGTTATCTGGGTTTTGTTTTTCCATTTTCAGAGCACAGGCATATAGAGGATTCATAAAGCAAATGTACTTCACAGGGCCTGGTTTTCCATAGCCTTGCAGTTTCAAATATTGACCTTGCAAAGGACAGGAAATTCTCCCCAGACTATAAGGTCTATATTGTAAGATAAAGAATTGTAACACAGCAAGGTTGCTGGCTCAAAGACAGACTAGTTACTGACTGATATGTGAAGTTACTAGGAAGCTGCTGGGGGGAGAAGGAATGTTTGCTAAAATCAAGCTTTTGTTGGTGGATCACTTAATTGCCTAATAGAATGTCATCTGACTTGTTTTTACTAAATGTTACCAGCTTCTATTGTTAAACTTATTAAATTGTCCTTAGCAAAACCCCACCTACGTCTCTTCCTGTAACTTGCTGGTCTGGAGAATAAATGCAGGAAGAGAACCCCAATTCAGGGTTTATTTCCCAAATGGAAGAAATGCCTCGTGCTTGAAGAAGTTCTGGGATATTAACCCATTTCTGGGGCTTCTCACTGCTCAGAAGAGATGGGCTTTGAGTAATCTTTGGTGGCTCCGTCACCCAGGGGAAAAGGTGTGACAAATCCGTGGTAGGCAAAGCAACACAGGCAGAATAGATTTAGCATCATTCTTAAAGGCACTAAGATTTTCAGAATGATAGGTGAGCACTGGCATCAACTTAAAGTCACCAGCAGCATTCGCCCCTAACAAGAAAGTCAGCCTGTCTGTTGAAGCTTTGAAGCCAGGCATCAGCTTCTCCTCTGTATCTATGAAAGTCCTAGATGACATCTTTCAGAGTAAGGCTGTTTCATCTACACTGAAAATCTGTTTAGTGTAGCCACCTTCATCAATGATCTTAGCTAGATCTTCTGGATAACTTGCTGCAGCTTCTACAACAGCACTTGCTGCTTCACCGTGCACTTTGATGTTATGGAGACAGCTCCCTTCCTAAATCTCATGAACCAATCTCTGTTAGCTTCAAACTTTTCTGCTGCAGCTTCATCATCTCTCTCAGCCTTCACAGAATAGAAGACAGTTAGGTCCTTGTTCTGAATAAGGCTTTGGTTTAAGGGAATGTTACAACTGGTTTGATCTTCTATCCAGACCACTAAAACTTTCTCCACAGGAGCAATAAGACTGTTTCACTTTCTTATCACTCATGTGTTCACTGGAGTAGCACTGTTAATTTCCTTCAGGAACTTTTCCTATGCATTCACAATTGGCTGTTTGGCACAAGAGGCCTAGCTTTCAGCCTGCCTTACATTGCATACGCCTTCCTTACTAAGCTTAATTATTTCTAGCTTTTCATTTAAAGTGACAGACATGCTACTCTTTCTTTCACTTGAATACTTGGAGGCCATTGTAGGGTTGTTACTTGGCCTCATTTCAATATTGTTGTGTCTCAGGGAACAGGGAGGCCCAAGAAGAAGAAGAGAGATGGGGTAACAGCCAGTCAGTGGAGCAGTCAGAACATACACATTTATCAATGAAGGTCACTATCTTATATGGACATGGTTCATGATTGCTCCAAACAATTATAATAGTAACATCAAAGATCACTGATCACAGATCACCATAACAGATATAATAATAATAATGTAAAAGTCTGAAATATTGTGGGAATTACCAAAATGCATTAGAGACTGAGCACATGCTGTTGGAAAAATGGTGCCAAAAGACTCACTTGATGCCGTATTGCCAAAAACCTCCAATTTGTAAAAAACGCAGTACCTGCAAAGCACAATAAAGAGAAGCACAATAAAACAAGGTATGCCTGTATAGGAGAGGTGAGATGTGGGACACTGAAAGCAGCCCAGCCACAACAGCCCAGGTCCAGGCCTGATTAGATGCTGCACTGGCGAGAGGTCACCCCTGCACCAATCACCCAGCTGAGTCTTGCCATGGACTCTCCAGTGAGACAAAAGAATATTTCCTCCTCTCACTGATGCTTTCTCTCTACTCTAATTTCCCCAGGTACTGCCACGATTTTGCTTGTTTTGTCTGGAACAATGCCTGCAATATATATTATGGTTTCTTAGTAGAAATGCTCTAGAGGTTGCCCCAGACTAAAGGGGTTCCCAGGATACAGACTCTCAGTTCTAAAAGCTAGACAAGTTGGCCACACTAAACAAGGTCATTATTCTTTCCTCCAAAATATCCAGACAGAAGTCCGCATTTGGCATTCTGCTTTTGAGAGATTCCCACTGCTAATTCATAATCTAATAATAGAGATAATAAGAATGGATTACTTGGATCATTCCTTCCATTCTGTAACTTCTTTTTTTTTTTTTTTTTTTTTAAAGATGACCAGTAAGGGGATCTTAACCCTTGACTTGGTGTTGTCAGCACCACGCTCAGCCAGTGAGCGAACCGGCCATCCCTATATGGGATCTGAACCCATGGCCTTGGTGTTATAAGCACCACACTCTCCTGAGTGAGCCACGGGCTGGCCCCATTCTGTAACTTCTTGATGATTTAGAAATGGCATACAAAAGTAATTAAAAAGTACCTTATTGGTTACAAAATTGAATAAAATATACAAGTACTCTACTTGTATACAAAAAAAAAGACAAATATCCTCTTCTAAGGCATAGGGTTTTGGATATGAATTTAGGGAAGATGTATGCTTTCTAACAGGCTTGCTTTACTTCACAGGTCTACACCAGGTCGTCCTGTTTAGACAGGCTCCCAGATTACCTGAGGCTAAGGACATATTACAACTAAATGCAGTGTGGGATCCTGAACTGGATCCTAAACATTAGTGGGATAACTGGTGAAATTTGAATAAGGTCTGTAGATTACTTAATAGAATTGCATCAGCGTAAATTTCCTGGTTTCAATAATTACTCTATGGTTATGTAAGAAGTTAACATTTGGGGAAATTAGGTGAAGGGCATAAGGGAACTGGTACTATTTTTGCAACTTTTTTGTAAATCTAAAATTGTTTCAAAATAAAAACTTTAAAAAAAAAGGTTCTCTTCCAAAACATATTCCCTATTTTCCTCTTTCTAACACACGCAAAACTCCATATCCACTAAAAGTAATACCTTTTGATTCACATACGACACTAGCCTTATTCTGGGCTGGTATCCATCAAAAACAAAGGTTATATTATCTATAAAAACAAAAAACTAGAGACAATTTAGATGTTCAACAGATGAGAAATAGGCTAATACAGCAACACTGAATCTTCACTTCCAAGCACAACACTAGGCACACAGATGAAACTCTAATATATGATAAAGAGAATGAACCCATATAATGAACGAGTATAAAACCATTTTAAAAGATGCTTAAGAAGAATTTTTAGTGATCTGGGAAAATGCTAAGTAAGAAAATGTCCAGTGGGGGAAAAAGCAAAATACAAAGTAATATAACAATATTATCCCAATTATGTAATATGTACATTTATACAAACAAAAAAATACAAAAATTAGGAAGAAATGCATCAAAATAGGGGTGGTAAAATTATAGGGGATTTTAGTTTTCATCCTTACAGTTTTCTCTGTCTTCCAAGTGCTCTACAAAGTTTCGCTGGGTTTTTCAAGCACACGCACATTTCAATTTACCACAGTTCTATCTCCTTCCATTATTTTAGATCTTCTAAATTTCATTCTTCATCTGCCATTCTACAATTCTTTCAGCAACAGGTAGTCAAAATAGATTATCCACTTTCCATAGCTAATTTAAAACTTTATCACACTCACAGAATACACCCTTAGAAAACATTTAGTCCTCTTGGTTAGTGAGACTTAAAATTGACAGTAGACATCTGAAAGTAGATTGAAGTTTTTTAAAAGCTCACGGGATTAGATTAAAACTCCACAGGATTTAAGGGAATGTGATACACTGTGTGTTGAGTCTAGATAAACCTCAACTATACCTTTTAAGTCCGGGACCTCCATACGCTGTCCCAGCTGTTGGAATAGGGTTTTACAGAAGACAGCGCACACCGACGCTAGTGCTGTGAAGGCTCAAGGAACATTAATAAGAAGCAGCCTGTAGGAGGAGAATCCCATTCCATACACGTCTCAGGTGTCCCAGCACTGCCCCTGACATGCATCTATTATTTAGACTGTACAGTATTTACAGTTGGCCGGTTGGCTCAGTTGGTTAGCACGGTGTTCTAACACTAAGGTCAAAGAGCTTGGATCCCCGCACCCGCCACCACCAAAAAAAAAAAAAAAAAAAACTTGAAAAGCCTATAAACCCAATCACCCCGATGTGAGAGAGAAAGTTAACCTACAAACAAACTCTCTCCAGCCAAACCTGCTGAGATACCTTAACACTCCCTGCTTCCAGGACAGCAGGGGAACGTGAAGCAAAGGCCCACGTGAGCTGGTCCTTCCAAAACCCGCCCCTCACCCTGCCTCGCGGACTCCTCCCCTCCGCTCACCACCTCCTTCCTCAAAGCTCTGAAACCCCCCAACCTGACCCCACCAGCCCCAGAGTTCTGCCTCACCACCTTTCTTCCATTATTCGACTTTCCGCCCCTGGCCCCCTGACCTACATCCCCTCCTCAGCCCCACCTGCGACCGCCACTCCCCCAACACCGTCACCCCTCCTACCTCGCCCTGAGCACGCCCTCCCCCGTCAACCCCGTGCCCATCCTGGTCCCGCTTTCCCATCCCCGGGATTGCCAGATCCGGGAGGCGCCCCGGGAACGAAGGGCGGCGGCTGGGAGGAGCCCCGGGAGGCGTCCCGCCCGCGGCGGCAGCCGGGGCTCAGCTACCCGCACAGACCCGGTCTGCGGGGTCGGGGGCCGGTCCTGAGAACAGGAGGTGGGTTTAACTGGGCTGTCGTACCGAAGGGGGCGAGGCCGGAACAGGGAGAGGCGGGCCTGTCGGGCTGTCACTCCGAGCATAAGTGGGTCCTAGCTGGGTTGTTACACCAAGAGGGGTATTGGTAGGGTAACGAATATGCCCCGTCACATTTCCCTCTTTTACATCTCTTAAGGATCAGAATCCAATTTTCTGGTCACTTTCAGGTATAAGAACAAGTATCATTTTAATTGTAACACTCTCAAGTAGTGAAAAACGCAGATCTAATTTATGATTAAAACCTCACAGCCAACTAAAGCCAAATCCCTTACAGTGGTCTATAGGGTTTCCCAGCCCCTCCTCCCCTTACCTTTCTGAAAACCTCTTTTACTCTTCCAGAACGCTCCAGGCATATTGGTCTCCTTGCTCTTCCTGGAACTCTCCAAAAACTTTCCCACCTCCCACTCGGGGTCTTTGCCCCAGCTGTTCCCTCCTTCTAGAAAGCTCTTCCTCCAGATAGCTGCTCGGTTTACTTCTCACCTCCCTCGAGTCTGCTGGAATGTCAGTGAGGCCCTCTCTGACCATCCGCTCTCCTCCTTACCCCACCACTTCCTTACCTGCTCTACTAGTTATTCTTTCCCCAGCACTCATCACCTTCTAACGTCCTATATTATTATGTTTATTTTCAGTCTCTCTTCCTAGAATGTAAGCTTCACAAGGACGGAGATTTCTGTCGGTTTTGTCCACTGATAATCCCCAGTGCCTAACACAGCGTTAGGTCCATAGTAGGCAAGCGATAACTTTCAAATGGAAGGAAAAAATGAATGTATATTTTCTCCCTCCAGACATCTGTCTCAAGCCAGACCGATACCTCAAAGTCCTACAATGGGGAGAAGGCTGGTCGCTCCACCTCTTCTCTGAGTCTTCCAGGTTTAAGGCATGAGGGAGGACTAGGAGAAAGGAACAGAAGACTACTAATTATTCGCATGGCTATCTTTTATTAGGTCCTGATAGATATGTCCAGAGGGTCTCTTTCTTCTGAAAATCAGGACAAATTGTTCATAAACTTCAATAGATTTAGACATTAATGGCTCATTAGACTTTTGTTTTTAATTACACTCTTCCTATCTTCTTATCCCTTAAACTTATGGCCATCCTTCCATATAACTTCATCTGATATTTATATGGCTGAAATAATTACAAAAATTTTTTTTTGAATGGAAATATTAAAAAATCACTTTCATTTGGACAATCTTACAATTGTCTCATCTCTACAATCAACAAATTAAAACCTTCTGTTAAGTATGACACATTAATTGTTGGACAACACAAATGGCAGACCTGAGTTAATGACATGGATCCCTGTATCAGTTACCTGTTGCTGTATAACAAACTACTACACAGGGGCCGGCCCGGTGGCGCACTGCTACAGTGCGCCGCTTGGGAGTGCGGCGGCGCTCCCGCCGAGGGTTCGGATCCCACATACAGACCGGTTCCCGCTCACTGGCTGAGCGAGGTGCGGGCGCGACACTGAGGGTTGCGATCCATTGCCGGACACGAAAAAAGACAAAAAAAAAACTACTACACAGAATTAGGGATTCCCTTCTCCACTTCTTTCCTTTTGGGGATTTTCTTCATACTCTCTGGCTCCCAGGAGCCCCTTTTCCCAGTTCCTCTGTCCAGAAGGGCAGATTTTAGGTCTCCGTGTTATGTACCCAGCAATGCAGCTCCCTTACTGGGGCTGGCCTCAGGGGAGGGAGATAAAAAAACAATCAGGAATTTGCACTACTTTCTCTAGCTTGCAGCAGCTTTTTTTCCCTGCTCCTGTGGCTATATGGTCAGGCTTGTCTCTGATTCTGCTGATAGTGTCTGGTTGGCAGTTCTCAATTCAGCCTGCTCTCAGGTCAAAAAAAAAAAAAAAAAAAATTCGGGGAGAAAAAAATGAAAACAGGAATTTCAACCACCCACATATTGGTCTTTTTTAAGTTTTGAGTTCCCCCACCCAATCCACCTATTGTTTACTTTTCAGAGTCCTCAGGTAGTTATTGTTTTTTACATTTTGTCCTGAGGTTTTAGTAGTAATCAGTGGGAGACGTAGGCAATGGACTTATTCTCTTTTGGCCAGAAATGGAACGTATCGATCTGATAGATTAAAAAATGTTTTAATTTGCATTTCTCTTATTATGAGTGAGGTCAAGAGCATCTTATACTAGAGAGACATTTGTGTTTCATTTTCTGCGAATTATGTATTTATATATTTTGTCCAATTTTCTACTGAGTATAGAAAGTCTTTATACAACAGTAAAAATAGTCCTTTTTCTTAGATATTAAATGTCAAAACTTTGTCTCAGTTTGTCATGGCTTTTGACTTTTCTTATGTTGTTTACTTGTTTTTGTTTTTGTTTCTTGCCATGCAGACTTTTCCCATTTCTAACTGATCGATTTTATCAAGGTTTTCCTTTATTACTTACTACTTCCGGGTCATATCATACTTAGAAAGCCTTCACCTCTCTTAGATTACTTGAAAATCTTCTCATGGTTTCTTCTTTATGTATCATAGTTTTACTTCTTTTTCTTTTAAAATTTGACTCATCAGGAATTTATTTTGATGTGAATTAAGTGGAATGGATTCAACTTCACTTTATATGTTGATAGCCACACATTTGCCCAACCCCTTTTAATTAATAATCCATCTCCGTCCTAATGATTTTAAATACAACCATTATCATATATTAAATTTCCTTCTGTATTTATGAACTTTCTCTTCAGTCCTATTCATATATTGGGATATATATATATATATATATATATATATACACGCATACATACATATATATACCAGAATCATAAGATTTTAATTTTTGAAGTTTTATAATACATCATTTCTTAGGGATAGTGAACTTTTGTTAATAGGTTTCCTTACTTAGTCTTTATTCTGAGAGGAATGAGGGAATAGCAAGGAACTGCAATTCTTTGGGGAATTCTGAGCAGATGAGTGACAGTATCAGACTTACATCTTACAGGATCACTCAGGCTTCTGTGCTGAGAATACACAGCAGAGCCACAGAATGAAAGCTGGCTACTGCAGTAATTGAGGCAAGGGACAGATTGTACCAGGGTGGTAGCAGTAAAAGTGATGAGAGCAGTTGGATTCTAGAAATATTTTGAAGGTAGAGTTCTCAGGAATTGGTGACATACTGGATGTAAAGTATGAGAGAAAGAGAGGGGTCAAGTGATAGCTCAGGTAGGGAAGACTGTGGGAGGAGAAGGTGTGGGAGAAAGCCAGGAGTCCTGTATTGGATACTCTTGAGTTTGAGATGCCTTTTGGAAATCGGGGTCATAATATAGGACTCTGACATTCAGGAGAGAGGTTGAAGCTGGAGATGTGAATTTGCAGGTTGTCGGTACAAAGATATTTGAAGCTATGTGACCAGATGATCTCACCAGAGTCATGAGTGCAGTTAGAGAAGAGGACCAACAACTCTAATAGTAAGAAGTTGGGAGAAAAGGAGAAAATAGCAAAGGAGCTTGAGAAGGAATGGCCAGTTTAATGGGAGATAAACCAAGAGAATGGGAAAAGAGAGTGTCTCAGAAGCAAGCGAAGAGCATGAATTAAGGAGGAGCAGTGCCACATGCTGATCCTAGGTCAAGTGAGATGAGAACTAAGAACATAAAATAATATGACAGCACTAAGATGAACATGTTTGTCCTGTCAATTACTGTCAATATGCTAAAATCACTTGCAAATAAACAAAAATGTTCAAATTGGATAAATTAAAACTCAGCTCTATACTCTATGTAAGGGACACACCTAAAATAAATTAATTCAAAAAGTTTTAAAATAAAAGGATGAGCAAAGACACACCAGGCAGACATAAACACATATAAAGCCAAGATCATTATCTTAATGAAATTGAATTCAGAACAAGCAAGCATTAAGCAAGACAAAGAAGGGGATTTAAAATGCTAACATGTAGAATTCACAATGAGCTAACACCCTTATGTATATATATGCACCAAGTAACATTGTTTTTTTGTTTGTTTTTAAAGATAACCGGTAAGGGGACCTTGGTGTTGTCAGCACCACGTTCTCCCAAGTGAGCTAACCGGCCATCCCTATATAGGGATCCAACCCATGGCCTTGATGTTATCAGCACCACACTCTCCCAAGTGAGCCACAGGCCAGCCCCTGCACCAGGTAACATTGTTGACCCTCAGACGCATCAGGAATGCTTCTGCTTTGGGGTCTTTGCACTAGACATTCCCTCTGCCTGGAACACTCTCTCCCAAAGCACAGCTAACTCCTTCTTTCCTCAAAGACTTGGCTTAAAATGTCATTTTTCTCAATGGA